ATTGTTCTTTATTGTTGTGTAGTATTCCATTGTATGTATGTACCATAATTTGTTTATCCATTCATCTGTTGATGGGCACTTAGGTAGTTTCCATGTTTTTGCTGTTGTGAATAATGCTGCAGTGAGCACTTGCGTGTGTTTGTCTATTTGTGTTACAGCTCTTATTTCTCTAGGATGTATTCCAAGTAGTAGGATTGCTGGATCGTATGGTATTTCTATTTCTAGTTTTTTAAGGAGTAGTGGTTGCACCATTTTATATTCCCACCAGCAGTGCATAAGAGTTCCAGTCTCCCCACAACCTCTCCAATATTTGTTTTTTTTTTAATTTGTGCCAGTAATGTTGGAGTGAGATGGTATCTCATTGTAGTTTTGATTTGCATTTCTGTAATGGCTAATGATCATGAGCATTTCCTCACATATCTGTTAGCTGGCTGAATATCTCCTTTGGTGAATTGTCTGTTCATATCCTTTGCCCATTTTTTAATTGGATTATTTGTCTTTTTGTTATTGAAGTGTTGAAATATTCTATAGATTTTAGAGATCAGACTCTTGTCAGATATATAGTAGCCAAAAAATTTTCCCAGTCTATAGATTCTCTTTTTACTCTTTCGGTGAAGTCTTTTGGTGAGCGTTAAGTGTTTAATTTTTAGGAACTCCCAGTTATCCAGTTTATGTTGTGCTGTTTGTGAATTGTTAGTTATGGTTTATATTGAATTTATGCCATGTATTAGGGCCCCTAATGTTGTCCTTATTTTTTCTTCCATGATCTTTTGTCGCAGCGGTGACGGTTGTCAGGGCAGCGGAGACAATAACCAATGCCACAACTCTTACAGAGAAGTGGGGCCAGGAGGGTCACCCTGAGGAGTCGAACCTCGGCTTCAGTCCCAGGAGTTTATTTATAGTCAATACAGCAAGCAGTGAAGCAAATAACAGAACAGTGGGCTTTGGGTGAATAACAATAAGTTTCAGGCAAGGGAGGAGGAATTCAGGTAAACAAGCCAATCAGTAACGGGTTTGGGAAAACAAGTCGTGACAAGTGTCAACATGTTGGGGACAAGTCTCAACATGTTGTGCAGCATAGAGGCCTTTATACATCCATATTTTAATGGCACATATCCCCACAATCTTTATCATTTTAGGTTTTATATTTAGGTCACTGACGCATTTTAAGTTAGTTTTTGTGTGTGGTGTTAGGTATAGGTCCTGTTCCCTTTTTTTACAGATGAACATCCAGTTTTGCTAACACCAGTTGTTAAAAAGATTGTCTTTTCCCCATTTAATAGACTTTAGTCCTTTGTCGGAGATCAGGTGACCGCAGTGGATGGATTTACACATGGGTTCTCAATTCTGTTCCATTGATCTATGTGTCTGTACCAGTACCAGGCTACTTTGACTACCATGGCTGTATAGTAGGTTCTGAGATCAGATAGGAGTGTGAGGTCTCCTACTCTGTTCGTTTTCTTCAATAATGCTTTGCTTATCCAGGGCCTCTTTCCTTTCCATATAAAGTTGGTGATTTGTTTTTCCATCTCACTAAAGAATGCTGTTGATATCTGGATCGGGATTACATTAAAGCTGTAGCTCACTTTCAGTAGGATCGACATTTTCACAATGCTGAGTCTTACTGTCTGTGTTGATCTTGTACCTTACCCTACCACTTTGCTAAACCCTTCTGTTAGTTCCAGTAACTTTCTTGGGGAATCTCTGGGATTTTCTATGTATAGGATCATGTCATCTGCAAATAGGGATGGTTTTACTTCTTCCTTATCAATTTGGATACCCTTCGTCTTAGTTATCTAGTGCCACTATAACAGAAATACCACAAGTGGGTGGCTTTAACAGAAATTTATTTTCTCACACTTTAGGAGACTAAAAGTCTGAATTCAGGGTGCTGGCTCTAGGGGAAGGCTTTCTCTCTCTGTCGGCTCAGAGGAAGGTCCTTGTCTCTTTGAGCTTCTGCTCCTGGGCAATCCTCCCCCATCTCTGTTTCTCTTGCTTGGTTGTTTAATCTCTTTTATATGTCAAAAGAGATTTATTCAAAATACACCCTAATCCTGCCTCACTAACATAATAAGCATAACCCATTCACAAATGGGATTACAACCACACGAAGAGGTTAGGATTTGCAATACATATTTTTGGTGGACACAGTTCAGTCCACAACTCCCTTTATTTTACTTTCTTGCCTTGTTGCTCTGGCTAGGCCTTCCAGCATGATATTGAATAAGAGTGGTGATAATGGGTATCCTTGGCTCATTCCTGTTCTTAAGGAGAATGCTTTCAATCTCTCTCCAGTGAGAGTAATGTTGGCTGTTGGTTTATGTATGCCTTTAAATATGTTGAAGAATTTCCCTTCTATTCCTATTTTGCTGAGAATTTTTGTCAGGAAACAGTTTTGGACTTCATCAAATGCCTTTCCTGCATTGATTGAGATGATGGGTGATTCTTTTCCTGTGCTTTATTTATGTGGTGATTTAGGTTGATTGATTTTCTAATGTTGAATCAACCTTGCATCCCTGGTATGAATCCCACCTGATCATGATGTATTATTATTATTATTATTTTTGTATGCTGTTGTATTCTGTTGGCTAGAATTTTGTTGATAATTTTTATGTCTATATTCATGAGGGATATTGGTCTGTAATCTTTTTTTTTTTTGTGGTATCTTTGCCTGGCTTTGGTATCAGGGTTATGCTGGCTTCATAGAATGTATTAGGGAATATTCCTTCCTTTTCTATATACTGGAATAGTTTGAGTAGAGTTGGTGTCACCTCTTCTCTGAATGTTTTGTAGAATTCTGCAGTGAAGCCATTGGGCCGAGACTTCTTTCTCTTTCTTTTTTAAACAACTTTATTAGATATAATTCACATACCATACAGTTCACCCACTTAAAGCGTATGATTCAATGATTTTGAAGATATTCAGAGTTGTGCAACCATCACCACAATCTAATTTTAGAATATTTTCATCATCCATCCTCAAAAGAAACTCCATATCTGTTGACAGTCATTCTCTATTCTCTTCCTACCCACCTCTAGCCTGAGGCAACCACCAATCTGTATAGATTTGTCTATTCTGGACATTTCATATGAATGAAATAATTCAATCTATAATCTTTTGCAGTGGACTTGTTTCACTTAGTATAATGTTTTCAAGTTTCACCCATGCTGTAGCATGTATCAGTGCTTCATTTCTTTTTATTGCCAAATAATATACCATCGTATGGATATACCTCATTTTACTCATCCGTTATCAATTGATGAACATTTAGGTTGTTTCCATTTTTTGGCTAATATGAATAATACTACTGTGAACATTTATGTACAAATATTTGTGTGCACACATATTTTCTTTCTCTTGGAAATTCCACTTAGGAGTGGAGTTGCTGAATCATATGATAACTCTATGTTTAACATTTTGAAGAACTACCAAAGTGGCTGTACCATTTAACATTCCCACCAGCAATGGATGAAGGTTCCATTTTCTCCACACCTTTGTCATCATTTTTTATTGTCTGTCTTTTTTATTCGTCATCCTTTCGAGAGTGAAATGGTATCTTATTGAGGTTTTAATTTGCATTTTCCTAAAAACTAATGATGGTGAGCATCTTATTAGCCTTTTGTATATCTTCTTTGGAGAAATGTCTATTCATATCCTTTGCCCATTTTTAAACTGGGTTATTATCTTTTTGTTATTGATTCATAAGCATACTTTATATATTCTGGATACAAGTCCCTTATCAGATACAGTAAAACCTGCAAAAGCTGGGACCTGTATAACGTGGAAACCTGTCAGAGAAGGAAAACACAATTATTTTCCACTAAAACAAGAGATTGAAAAGTCGTAAGACTGCACCCTGTCAAAGGCGGAAGACTAGTGAGACCCAGAAAAACAAAACAATCCCGTCAAGTTCTGGCTCTCACAGATTTCATGTATATGTTTTGCAAATATTTTCTCCCATATTGTGGGTTGTCTTTTCACTTTCTTGATGATATCATATGCAGCAAAAAGATTTTAATTTTTCTGAAGTCTAATTTATCTTTTTTATGTGTGTGTTTTTTGAATCTTTCTTTATGCCTCTTTGCTTCACTCCTTCCAAATCTACCAGCTCTTCACTCTCAAGTACACTATGCTCTGATCTTTTCCTACTCATTCCCATTTCTGCAATCCAGGGCTTATCTTTCCTGTGACTTTTTTCTTTAAAAATCTTACTGAGTAAAATAATAGAATCCAATCAGATTAAATTGCATTCCTAGGCAGAACATCCTCATCATCAAAAAATAATTATTCAACGCTTGCCTTGGGTAGAGGATTGAAAACACCTTAGAAATACATCCATAACCTTTAGTCACTGAAACTGTTATCTGAGTGTCCTTGTTTTGAGTGCATTAACAGTCCTTAGTAACAGTGTTTGGGTGCATTGATAGTCTTGTATAAACTATAACAGAGACTTGTTTATTATAGTAACAAGAGGCCTGGCTCATTTATTCTTGTTATCCTGCAGCTAGCCTGTGTTAACACTTAAGAAAGATGCCATCTCTTGCAAGATGCCAGCTTACTTCTCTCCTCTATCTAGCAAACCACACACACATTCCTAAAAGGATCCTTCGTACATCTTAAAGTTATGCCTTTCACACAGTACTAAGCAATAAGAGTATTCTAATAGGCAGTATTTTACACATTTCCTAAATTATATTTCTCCTGAAAGTTTGTATTTAAAAATCCAAACAATTTGATTTATGGTATTCCAGTTCAAAAGTATGCAGATGGGAAGTTTATCCACCAGCTTTATGATTCCTGCATGTACTAGGCCAGACTAAATACCTCCTGTTTGAGCTGAAATATTAAATTCAAAATATATGGATCTTTATAACTTGGAGGTATATTGCAAATGTATATTTCTATAAATGTATGTTTAATGTAATTAATTTATTCCAGCTTTACTGTTACTTAAAAGAATACCAGAAGTAACTAACACTATTTTGGGACTTTTTTGATAGGGTGATAGTGGTGGACCGTTAATGTGCTACTTACCAGAACATAAACGATTTTTTGTAATGGGAATTACCAGTTACGGACATGGCTGTGGTCGAAAAAATTTTCCTGGTGTCTATAGTGGGCCATCCTTCCACAAAAAGTGGCTGACACAGCACCTCTACCAGAGACATGCTAAAAGCATATCTAATATAAATATTCCACTTGGACAGGCCCTTATAGCCTTAGGTTCTGTTGTCTTACTAGCAACTACATAAAGAAATTCTGAAGACTTCAGTAACTTTATTTTGTACCCTTTCCACCGTGTTCTACATAATGAAAATAATTTATTCTTTTAACAATTAATTGCCCACTTCAGAGTTCTCATGTGGGCATTTTTTTAGAATAAAAGAATTGTGATATACTAGATATGTGATTGTAAATTTGACAGCGAATCACATACTTCCTTGATGTATCTTGATTGTTTTACTTTATAATCACAATTTTGTATTCAGAATACTTTCATAATGTTTGTATACAATATTCAACTAAATATATATTTTATGTGTATAAATGCCAAATAATAAAGAGTTTATAATTAAAATGAAAGCTATTCTTTTGTTTATCAAAACTATTTCAAATTAGATTTTATTTTATTCAGAAACATTTGTATGATTTATTATTCTCTGGAATTATCATCTTGTTTCCAATCTCAAAGGATATTTGGAGAAATAAGTATTTGCCTATTACTTAAACTCTAGTTAAAGCAACTTATTTAATACATCAGTACTTCATTTCCTATACCAAGAGAGAAGAACTGTGGTACAGGAACCCAAAATATTTTTTTTTTATTTGTTGTTGTTAGTTGCTGTTGAGTTGGCTCTGACTCACAGCAACCTTATGTATAACAGAATGAAATGTTGCCCCGTCCTTCACCATCTCCATGATCATTGGTATATTTGAGTCTATTGTTATGGCTATTGTGTCAGCCCATCTCATTGAGGGTTTCCCTTGTTTTTGCTGACCCTCTACATTACCAAACATGATGTCCTTTTCAAGCTATTGGTCTTTCCTGATGATGTATCCAAAGTGAGTGAACCAAAGTCTTGCTATCTTTGCTTCTGAGGAACATTCTGGCTGTATTTCTTACAAGAGTGATTTGTTTGTTCTGGCAATCCATGATAATATTCAATATTCTTTGCCAACACCACAATTTAAATGCAATTTTTTATTGAGAAATATATAATGTGACTTTTTCTTACAGAATTACAACCTACTTTCTAAACCTTATTTTCTTGAGGCCTATGCTAAAAGTTCTTTTTTATCAACTTCATTAAGGTATCATTTATATACAATAAAATGTACACATTTTAAGTGTATGGATTTGATGAGTTTTGACAAATGTATATATCCATGTAACCATCATCATAATCAAGATATAGAACATTCCATCACCTCAGAAAGTTCCCTTGTGCCCCTTCCCAGTAAACCCCACCCTTGGACCCAGGAAACCACTGATCCACTTTCTGTCATGGTCGGTTATATTTGTCCTTTCTGGAGTTTTATATAAATGTAGTCATATAGTATGTACTCTTTTGAGTCTGGCTTCATTAGCTTAATATGATCTTTCTGAGATTGTTCCATGTTGTTTCATATATCAGTAGTTCCTTTCTATTGCTGAGTAGTATTCAATCATGTGAATATAACACAATTTGTTTATCCATTCATGCATTGATGGATATTAGGGTTATTTCTAGTTTGGGACTGTTATGAATAAATCTTCTATGAACATGCATATACATTGTATGGACATGTTTTTCCTTTTTCTTGGATAAATACCCAGGATCGGAATTGCCATAGGGTTACATGGTAAGTATATGTTTAACTTTATTAGAAACAGCCTATTTTCCAAAGTTGTACCATTTTACAGTCTCACCAGCAATGTATGAGAGTTCCAGTTGTTCTGTATCAATGCTAACATTTGGCATTGTTGTTCTTCTAAATTTTAGTCATTCAGTTAGGTGTGTGGTGGCATTTGTTTGTGGTTTTAACATACATTTCTCTGGTGACTGATGACACTGAGCATCTTTCCATGCTATTATTGGCCAGTCATATGTCTTTTGTTAAATATCTGTTCACATTTTTTGTCCACTTGTATTTGGTTATTTGTCTTCTTACTATTGAGTTGTAAGAGTTCTTTATATATATTTTTAATACAAGTCCTTTGTCTGATATATGTATTAAGTATATTTTTTCCAGTCTGTGGTTTGCCTTTTTGTTTTCTTAAGTGTCTTTCAAAGAGCAGAAGTTCTAAATTTTGAGGAATTAATATATATGTGTATATATTCATATATATGTACATATATTTGTGTATATATAAAAATGTGTGTATATATTTATATGTAATTTATATATAAAATTTCATTATTAATGACTGATTTCTCAGAAACAGTGGAACCTAGAAGACATCTGCATGACGTATTCAAAGTGCTGAAAGAAAAATACAGCTATTAACCAAGAATGCCGTATCGACAAAAACTATTCTTCAGAAAATGAAGGTTAACAAAAACATTTTGAATGAACAAAAATAATTAACTGCCAGCAGACCTGCTCTATAAGAAATGCCTCCCTCCTGTTACCTGCTTGGCCTGTAAAGGCATTTGAGTTGGCACTTTGCTCCATGCTGTAAATTTTCCTTTAGTTGGGACACCAGAAAAAAAAAAAAAGAAATGCTAAAGGAAGTTCTTCAGATTGAAGGAAGTGACCCAGAATAGAAACTTGGATCTCCAGGAAGGAATAAGACACTGGAAATCTTAACTTTCTGTGTGAGTATAAAATGCTGTATTTCTCTTCTTCTTTTAAATTCTTTAAAATACATATGACTGTTTAAGCAAAAATTATAACACTGTAATGTTGAGTTTATAACACGTGTAGATGTTAAATATATAATGATGACATCTTAAAGGATGGGGGTAAATGGAACTATACTATTGTAGGGTTCCTATATTTTACCCAAAGTAGTTCAATATTAAGAATTATTAGATTGTAGTAAGTTCAAGATGCAGTTTGTGGTCCCTAGAGCAGCTTCTAAAAATTAATGCAAAAAGATATAGCTAAAAGCCAAAGTTGTTGTTGTTAGGTGCTGTCGAGTTGGTTCTGACTTATAGCAACGCTATATACAACAGAACAAAACTCTGCCCATTCCTGCACCATCCTCCCATTGTTGCAGCCACTGTGTCAGTCGATCTCGTTGAGGGTCTTCCTCTTGTTTGCTGACCCTCTACTTTACCAAGTATGATGTCCTTCTCCAGGGACTGATCCCTCCTGATAACACATCCAAAGTATGTGAGATGTAGTCTCACCATCCTTGCTTCTAAGGAGCATTCTGGC